TTGTAATTCGAATGTTTATTATTATTATTAGGCCCGAGCAGCAAAGCGCTGCGAAGGCCTATTGTAATTCAAATGTTTATTATTAGGCCCGAGCAGCGAAGGCGAGATTTGAAAGTTGGCACACCGGTAGATCTCCTCAAATCATGAAAAAAAGTCTCTTGGAGGTATGCCCTAAAACCCACAGGAAGTCGGCCATTTTGGCTCAAAGTGCGATTTTTGGCCATTTTTCATTTTCGCTCATGTCGAACTTTAACGAACTCCTCCTAGGGATTATGAGCTATCGGCTTCAAACTCGGTCATTATGCAGTTAAGGCATTGGAGATTAAAAGTTATCAAAGGTTTTCGTTTTTGAGCATGTTTAAGGGGTCCCCAGGGGCCCCAAAGTTAGGGTACTTTTGAAGAATTTCAAAGTGGAATAACTTTTAGAAAAAAGGTTCAAATCAAACCACGTTTGGCAGTAAGGAGCCCCTTTGGGTGCTTGACCATACTGGATGGTCAAATGATGACATCATCTAAGCCCCGCCCCCTAAGGGAAGAAAGTCACTTTTTTCACTTGGGAGGGTCCCTTTGAGTCATTTTAAACACCAGCACCTTGAAAATTTGTCAGATGATAGAAAACATGTTGGTCTAACTTCGTTTAAAGCACAGAGATTTTGAGTTAAATGGTGTTGCCGTGGCGCCATGGCGAAGTGAGGCGTTTCGCCATGAAAATAAGATTGGCTCTCATTTCCTCATTATTAATCAGATCTGCACCAAAATCACAAGAGATGATCCTAGTCCAACTCCAAACAGGAATCCAGAGCAATATTTTGTGGGCGGGGCTTAATTTCACTACAGCGCCCCCTAGAAATAACAAACTTCAAACCACCAGCCCCAAGCCGTTTTTAGTCCTAGAATATTGAAACTTTGAATACATTTGCATCTCATCATGCCCTAACTAAAAGCCTCATGAAGCCATGGTCTAAACCCCACCGGAAGTCGGCCATTTTGAATTACAATTTACTCTCTTGTGAAAGCACTGACCTTTTTTCAAAAAATTGTATAAAATCAGCCTTTTATCCAAATGAGCTAAAACTTTCAAAATACGTTCTTTACAAAGCCTGCTGTAAGCTGGTTACAATAGCAAAGCGCTTCTTTAAAGTCCGTCACTCTGATTTTTCAAAAGTTTGCGTTCTCGCCTAATAGTTGGTCAAGTGGACAGATAATGCCAGGAAATAATTCAGCCCCTAGCCATGCTCGTTCCTAGGATAATGAAACTTGGCACACATCTGTATGAGCCCCCCACCTACAAAAAGTTTCATTGGAGCCATGGTCTACACCTCTCATGAAGTCGGCCATTTTGAATCAAACGGCACCCTTATGAAAATAGAATCACTATGTTAAAATATTTCTAAAAAATCAGTCGTTTTCCCAAAAGCGCTAGGACTTTTGGAATATATTCCTCTAATCGGTACTTTTTTGATGGTGTACACAGCATAGCTCTTCTTAAAAGTCCGTCACTCTGATTTTTCAACAGTTTGTGTTAACAGGAAATTGTTGTATCTCAAAAAGTTTTATAGCAATCCTAGCCAACTTTGGAACAGTTATTTATCCTTTGATTATAGAAATGACTGCCAAGTTTGGCGTGAATCTATGCATGTTTGAGCATCTTATGGGGTTTTCAACTGCAGCAGTATAAGGCATTCAAGTTTAAAGATTTTTCTTTCTTTTAATTATTTAGTAAATCATCTAAAAAAAATCTAGGACATGCAAAATGTGTTCCTTAACATTTGTGATTTTTTTCTGGATTTTATTGCAAACTATGGATTTTTAAAGATTTTTTTTGTTTTGAGTAGAGTCGGCCATTTTGAATTACATTTTACCGTGTTGTGAAATCACGGACCTCTTTTCAAAAAATTGTATAAAATCAGCCTTTTATCCAAATGAGCTAAAACTTTCAAAATACGTTCTTTACAAAGCCTGCTGTACGCTGGTTACAATAGCAAAGCGCTTTTTTAAAGTCTGTCAGTCTGATTTTTCAAAAGTTTGTGTTAAGAGAAAATTGTTGTATCTCAAAAAGTTTTTTAGCAATCCTAGCCAAATGTGGAATAGTTATTTATCCTTTGATTATACAAAAGACTGCCAAGATTGTCGTGAATCTATGCATGTTTGAGCATCTTATGGGGTTTTCAACTGCCGCAGTATATGGCATTCAAGTTTAAAGATTTTTCTTTCTTTAAATTATTTAATAAATCATCTAAAAAAAATCTAGGACATGCAAGATGTGTTCCTTGACATTTGTGATTTTTTTCAGGATTTTATTGCAAACTATGGATTTTTAATGATTTTTTTTGTTTTGAGTAGGGTGTATTACCGCTAACCGTGGAGTTTGGCAGTGCTGTTTCTCCATCTTTTGAACATATACTTTTGACCGACCACCTGAGATGGCCGCAGCATCTATCTCACAGATGAGATTCATCCCAGATATTATATTTTATCCCTAGTTTAACCCTTCCTGACCAAAGCTGTGGTTTTCTCCGGCTGGTCCAGAGGAGAAGCGTGGCGCCTTTTCCGCTGGCTGGGAAGGAGCAAGGGGGCGGCAAACTTCTAACTTGCTGAGCCTCGAATTAAGACATAAGGGGTCAAAAGTAATCAAAAGATTATTGCTGTGACAAACCATGTGGGCGTGGCCAAGCATCAAAATCAGACTTCTCGCCATTAGAGTATGACTAGAGTATGACTGCCTCAGGCCCTGCTTTTATTAAGGATTATTAAATTTGTATAGCTGAACACGATGCTCAAAAAAGTATATTGGAGCCATGGTCCACACCCAACAAGAAATGGGCCATTTTGGATCAAAGATACCATTTTCTTTTTTTAGGTCATGACATATCTGAGTGAAGGGCTCTTGGTTTTTTTTGAGTTTGAGACTTTAAATTAACTTTACATGGACTATAGTCATAGCAGATTAAAAGTTATCAAAATTATTATTCTACATGGGAGCATGTGGACGTGGCTAAGCATCAAACTGTTAACTCCAGTCATCCAAAGCCATGCTTTTAGGAGGAGGAGAAGGATAGTGAGGATGAGAAACAAACAGCAGTAGGAGATGCAGTGAGAGCAGCAGCAGGAAGAAGAATATGAAGAGAAGGAGCACAGGGGGGGCAGGATGATTAGGATGAGAAACAGCAGAAGGAGAATGGAGGAGGATTAAATGAAGCAGGATAAGGAGGATGAAGAGGATCAGGAGAAGCAGCAGTACGCAGGGGATGAAGAGAAAGAGCAGCAGCAGGATGAGGAGAAGGAGATGCAGCAAGAGCGACAGCATGTTGAGGAAAAGGAGATGCAACAAGAGCGACAGCAGGAGGAGGAGAAGGAGACACAGTAAGATAAGCAGAAGCAGGAGGATGATGAGGAGAAGCTGCATTAGCAGGAGGATGAGGAAGATGAGGAGAAGCTGCAGGAGGAGGAGGATAAGAAACAGTGGCAGCAGCAGAACGAGAAGGAGGGGGAGGATGAAGAAGCAGCAGCAGGCATAGGCTGAAGAGCAGGAGCATAGGCTGGGAAGCAGCGTGGAGGTGGAGGTCGCTTGGTTCCCGCGATCGCAACATACCAGGCGGTGCGAGCTGCGAGGGCCGCCCAATGCCACTTGTGGCTTTAATTACTATTATAGTTTTAGTGTCGGCTTTTTCCCAGATTCTTCATTAAGACACTGTTTAAAAGCTGCTAGGAGTAGTTTTTCTTTGCAATCTGACTCTTTTTTTTCTTACTCTTAAATAAGCTAAGATATGACATGTTACTTTCATTTAATACATGTGCAGTTGGAAAAGCATAGTTGAGGACAACATACAGTAGTTCTTAAGTTTTTGTCTCAAGGAAAAAACAACATGGGGCTAAAGTGTATGTTCAAATAGCTGTCTATATTTAATTATTAAAAAATTTATAAACAATATGAAGAATTAATGCTTTGAACGTGTTGTTTTTTAAGCTGTAATGAATCATAGATGAAAGTCAAACATACTGACTCATGTGTGGCCAAATTTATCTGAACGTCAGCCACAGCTATATTCCAAAAATCATTAGAAATGTAAAAATAATATGCTAAAAATAATTGCGACTGTTTGCAGCAAAACTCAAACTAAACAGACAGAAAACAGGTCAAAGTGCCTTTTAGTAAATTAGTCCAAATTTGAAAAGTTGTACGAAACACAAGTTGACCAAAGGTGTACCAAATTGCTTCCCAAGTTATTTTCAAGTACTTCTATCCGTTACTTTGTCATTCAGAGGTGGTTATTTTACAGGTAGGGTAAATAAGAAATTTTATAATTTTTCTTTTCACCCCCTATGTAAGTAAACAGAGATCAGCAGCCCAAGCTAATTCATATTGATAAAGAGCAGCTGTAGACTTTTTGCCTAGAATTTGACTAGGTCATCCTTTCATAAGTATATACAGCTCTTCAGTTTTATCACTGTCCGCATCTTCAGGATTATCAGGACTGCACTTCACTGCATGTTTTCTCTTCCTTTTTACCATTATTGTTGTTCCTGCTGGAGAAAAGCATTATCACAACTGCTAACTGCTCTACTACCACATACAACAGTATGAAAAACTGTTTTCTGCAGGCAGTATGTTTCTGATCAGACATACAGTACTGTTTGATATTTAGGCCAAAAAGGTCAGTTTTGTGAAGCTTGTAGTTGTAGTGGAACAACATGTGTACTGGCTTTAAAAGTTTTCAAGACATTATAGATTCACAATTTTATACTTGAGGCATGGTTCTAAAGTAAAGATTAGAAAAGCATCAGGAACAAGCTCCTCCACGATTCCCCACGTTATGAATTCAATTAAATGCATTGATTATTTGTCTGATTCTGTTTCACAGTCCTCATTTTGCAGTACAGCCGTGTTCTAGCACAAAACATTTATCAGTCTTAAGTGTTATTTTGCCACAGCTTTCAGAAAGCATTTGTGATACATACACCCAGCGGACTTCAGTAAATGTCTGTCTTCACTACTGCAGCGCAGAGCCATTTATCCTCCTCCGTGGTGGTGTTCATCACCGTGCTGGACGTAAACGACAACGTGCCAAGGCTTGCAAGGGATTACCGGCCATATATCTGTGAAGGCACACAGGCGGGAGAAGTATGTATATTATGATGTGCTCGTGTTTGTGATTTATTTTGCAGCAATGTTGAAATCAAAATGGGCCTGAGTTCAGTCAGTTAGTATACTTACATGGAGTAGTGTTTTATTACAGAGAAACATATTTCTGTTTTCCTAAGTATTCTTTTTATGACAATGTCCTGTTCATGTAATATTTTTTTGATAGCAGGTAAACTTATTAAATTAACAGCAATTGGAATAAATTGAAGTGCTTTTTTTCATCTCTTTATTTGTACCTCTTTAGGTTATTCAGGTTCTCAGTGCTGTTGATCCAGACGAGGCAGTGCAGGAACACCACTTCTACTACTCTATGGTACCTGAGAAGCGCATCAATCCAAACTTCACCATAAGAGATAATCAAGGTTGGATTGAAAAAAAATACATTATAATAGAGTTTCATAGATTTTGTACTAGCAATAATTAAGATACTCTTATTGTACTTCTATTAAATTAATAAGAATGCACAAACTAGCAACACTTCCAAAACACATGTAAGTGTTTCACTGCTCTTTAGGAAAGTTCTGTCATCAAGGTTGTGTTTTTTTCTTTGTTAACCCAAGGTTTCTCAATAGTTTTGTTATTATTTTTTTTTTTCTCAAGGCCTATCCTGTTCTATGAACAAGGACAAATAAAAGCATAGCTATATTCTGCATGTAGAAGCCTAATGCTCAACAAAGTAGTAATTAAAATTTAATTAATTCTAACTGCTGCATATTAGAGTCAAAAATACTCCTTATTGGATACTAGTCAGGACAAAAATTGTTTTAATTTTCCGAATAATTCATATTTGGAATCACAAAGAGATGAATTTCTGCTCTTAAACGCATTTGGATTTTAAGATGGGAATCTTCCCAAAGCAATTTATAAAGGTTGTTGGACTCTAATACAGTGCAAAAAGGGAAACTCTGAAGGTAATTTTACCTGAGAATAGTTCATTCAAATGGTTTCTTGCACGGGTTTTATACATGGAAGAAATGATAAATTAAACAATGGCCACCAAACATTTCAGATAGATGTTTCAATACATATTTCCTTAAAATTCTTCCATTTGCTTATTTTTGCAATTATTCGTCAGTTGATTAGAAAGACAAAAATGAATATTTTCTTTAATCTGTTTGTACCTGTACACTATTGCACAGTTTACTTCGTATTTCTAAGCTGATCCTGTACTATGATTTTTCTCAGTGTTCTTTTTATTATTTGGAAGCAGCTTTTTTAGCACCTTACAAATATGTGAAGAAATCATGGCCCCCTATGACAGCCCATCTCAGATAGTTGTTTTTTTTTCATCTGTATTTTGGTAAATATTCCAGTGAAGAATGGCACAAAAACATTGGCATATTGGCTTGTGATGTTTTCTTTTTTGTGAGTTTTGTGAGTTTCCAACCATCTATTAAAAAAAACAAACATATTTTCTTAGACTGAATGTAACATACTCCATCTTTATGGACAACTTACTAAGCTGTGTGGAAACAGAGCATAAATGCTGGAGGGACATTTTTCTTCTATGGTCAGAACCAAATTACTGTTTTTTTTGTTGTTGTTTTTTTAACCCCTGTTTGCAATCTTAGCTCTGTAGCTTTGTGCAGCTTGGAAAGATGCAACAAAAGCAAATATAAACTAAGGGCCTTTTTATTACATTATATGTAAAAATAATAGATAAATAGAATGTAAATTATTGTCGCATCTTCTATGTGACAATCAAAAAATTGATGTAAGTTCGGATGATTATGTCATCAATTTTATCAAACTACCTCTTGAGTGACTTGATTCTTTGCAGAAGCCTTTGGCATTAATAGTTATGTAATTATTTTTCTTGGAAGTGAAACTCCATCCAGAACACTCATAAATGTCTAATTTGAGACTGTAGGCTATGGTACCCCGCCAATACGAAAATTAATCAAAGCACTTTGAACCACATTCAACAAGCAAATATTCACTTGTAATGAACAGAACACCTCAAAACTGACATTTTTACTTAACCTTTTTTTCTCCAACTTAATTCAAAATCTCATTTTCAGCCTTCAGATTTCTTTACTTTTTTTGTATCCCACAATGTTTGCATCTCAAATTTTTATGACATGAATGGGTTTTTATTTTTTACTTAGAGACATATTTTCATCAGTATGTCCAGTGACCAACCTTAAAGAGCCTCTTCTTCAAGATTTTTTGCTAGCCTGAAAGCATTGTCAATATTAGAAATATCTGTCCAGATGTGGTGCAGAAAAACTACTCCATGCATGGGTTACTTCAAGGGTAGACAAATGTAATTGTTTACTATAAGAAATCCAGTTGATCCAAAATGCTACTGCCAGAGTTCTGATGAAAATTTAAAAAGGGATAATATGTCTGCCATTTGGTCTCCCTTTATTGGCTCTCTGTTAAATCTGAAAGGTACAGCTGTTGCTACATATAGTACATAAATCTTCAGTAAAATAGCTTTACTTCACCGCTTCTCAATACAGGTGCTGGTCATAAAATTAGAATATCATGAAAAAGTAGATTGATTTCAGTAATTCCATTTAAAAAGTGAAACTTGTATATTATATTCATACATTACATACAAACTCATATATTTCAGATGTTTATTTTGTTTAATTTTGATGATTACAAATGACAACAAATGAAAATCTCAAATTCATCATATCAGAAAATTAGAATATTACTGAAGACCAATAAAAACAAAGGATTTATAGAAATGTTGGCCAACTGAAAAGTATGAACATGAAAAGTATGAGCATGTACAGCACTCAGTATTTAGTTGGGCCTCCTTTGGCCTGTATTACTGCAGCAATGCGGCGTGGCATGGAGTCGATCAGTCTGTGGCACTGCTCAGGTGTTATGATAGCCCAGGTTGCTCTAATAGTGGCTTTTAGCTCTTCTGAATTGTTGGGTCTGGTGTATTGCATCTTCTTCTTCACAATACCCCATAGATTTTCTATGGGGTTAAGGTCAGGAGAGTTTGCTGGCCAATTAAGAACAGGGATACCATGGTCCTTCAACCAGGTACTGGTAGCTTTGGCACTGTGTGCAGGTGCCAAGTCCTGTTGGAAAATGAAATCTGCATCTCCAAAAAGTTGGTCAGCTGCAGGAAGCATGAAGTGCTCTAAAACTTCCTGGTATGTGGCTGCGTTGACCCTGGACCTCAGAAAACACAATGGACCAACACCAGCAGATGACATGGCACCCCAAACCATCACTGACTGTGGAAACTTTACACTGGACTTCAAGCAACGTGGATGAAGTGCCTCTCTTCTTTTCCTCCAGACTCTGGGACCTTGATTTCCAAAGGAAATGCAAAATTTACTTTCATCAGAGAACATGACTTTGGACCACTCACCAGCAGTCCAGTCCTGTTTCTCTTTAGCCCAGGCAAGACGCTTCTGACGCTGTCTGTGGTTCAAGAGTGGCTTGACACAAGGAATGCGACAGCAGAAACCCATGTCTTTCATACGTCTGTGTGTGGTGGTTCTTGAAGCACTCACTCCAGCTGCAGTCCACTCTTTGTGAATCTCCCCCACATTTTTGAATGGGTTTTGTTTCACAATCCTCTCCAGGGTGCGGTTATCTCTCTTGCTTGTACACTTTTTTCGACCACATCTTTTCCTTCCCTTCGCCTCTCTATTAATGTGCTTGGACACTGAGCTCTGTGAACAGCCAGCCTCTTTAGCGATGACCTTTTGTGTCTTGCCCTCCTTGTGCAAGGTGTCGTCTTTTGGACAACTGTCAAGTCAGCAGTCTTCCCCATGATTGTGTAGCCTATAGAACTAGACTGAAAGACCATTTAAAGGCTTTTGCAGGTGGTTTGAGTTAATTAGCTGATTAGAGTGTGGCACCAGGGGCCATAAATTTTGAACCTTTTCACAATATTCTAATTTTCTGATATGATGAATTTGAGATTTTCATTTGTTGTCATTTGTAATCATCAAAATTAAACAAAATAAACATCTGAAATATATGAGTTTGTATGTAATGTATGAATATAATATACAAGTTTCACTTTTTAAATGGAATTACTGAAATCAATCTACTTTTTCATGATATTCTAATTTTATGACCAGCACCTGTATGTGTTCAGTATGAAAAACTCACACAGAAAGAGACAATTAGAAGAATTTTATTGATGCAATTATTTTAAGTCTTTTGAGCTCAGACCACAGCAAGAAACATTAGCATGAACCTGTCCATGATGAGCAAAAATGAAGCGACACTATAGAGGAAAAACTCCCCTTTGGAAAGAAACCTCTGGCAGAACCAGTCTCAACATGGCGCTCTTATGCCGGACCAATTGATATGTGACTGGGAATGCAGTAAGAATCCCAGAAGAATTACACTCTGATGGGGAAGACATTGAAGGAGCACTATGGAAAAGCCAAATGGAGCTTAAGCTATGGTGGAGAAGGGGATGGAGGTGGGTTAAATCAGGGTAATCTGAGTGAAAATCAGACGTAGCGCAACCACTTCTTGCATTGGCTTGGTAGCAGGCTGAGTCGTGGATTTGGAGACCTTTTAAAATGGACTCCGGAGGCTGATTGGGCTTCATAGAGGTGTGGTTCAAAGCTGATTGGTTTGCCTCAGAGGCAGATGAGCCCCTGACGATGAGGCAGGTAATTTACTGTAGTTTCTTAAGTTGAACTTCCACCTAGGCTTCTTTATTGAAATGTTTGCTTTATTAGTTAGAGGAAAACTTGTGATTTAGTATTAATCCTAACAGTTTATGATTAGCTAAGGCAGTGAAAATAAAGAAATGCTAATATAAAAACATAAAGGGTTTCCAAATTTGTAAAACACTATAAGGTAGTTTAATAAAAGGATGGTTTGCCTTGTGAGGAACCAAATACAAACAGCATCAGGAAAATGAATAATAAAGAAGAAGACATTAAAAAAACACTATTATATCCCTTGAAACTTATTTAACTTTATAAATGTTATTCTTTGATAGCATGAAGAAATAAAAGAGATGCATTGAAAAATAAACAATTTTTCCTTCATATTGCATTGAAGATTGAAAAAAGCAAAACAAGGAGCAGCCCCTGTAAGCATGCTAAAATGTATATCCTTCATTCTAATTTCAGATAACACGGCAGGCATTGTGTCACGCAGGAGTACTTTCACACGTAAAGATCAAACTCAGTACCTGCTACCTGTGGTGGTGTCCGACAGTGGCACCCCTGCTCTCTCCACCACCACCACCTTGACCATCAGCGTTTGCAGCTGCCTGCCAGCTGGCCATTGTCCCACTGGAGGGGTGGAGGCATTCGCTCTTTCTGGGGTCAGCATGCAAACCTTGATAGGGATTTCAGTCTGCCTGGTCACTCTCTCTGGTAAGTATGAAATTGGCTCACTGGTAATGTTTATTGCAAATGATGGTCAATGTATGGTTTTCCTGGACTCATTATAATCATAGTTTACAATAGTCTCATGCATATGATTCTTTACAGAAATAATTTTGCTTAAACATTGATATTTATTAGGTTTAGTATTGTATGGTTTTCAGACAGTGAAAAACATTCTTGTGCATTGTTACTTCCAACAGATTGACTTTGCTAAGATTTTCCAAATATATAAAAAAAATCAGATGTCCACAGATTCATTATCATTTATCTTACTTGTATTTTGTACATTTAAGAACCGGTGAAGTGTAGAAAGCTTTATCAGTACTTTAATTATTTGTAGTTTATTTACCCTTTCCAATTCTTTAAATATGTTGATTATGGTAATAAAAAAAATACTTTATCATACATTTTCAGGGGGTTTCAATCAATTAAAATATAGAAAAACAACAGCAGAATTTCACTCCATCTTAAACAACATAAGTATTCAGATTTTTTTGTATTTTAGAAGTTTCTAGCTTTGGAAGCAGAAGACGGCTTGATGTAAAAAAAGGATTTTGAATTAAGTAAAACAACCCTGAGGCTTTCATCCTGGTTAAATTTGATAAATAGCTGAAATATTATGCATAGCAGACTTGCTCAAAACTTAATGCAGTCTACAGTATGCAATAACAGAAATGTGTCAGCTAAACAAAATTAGGTGCCAAATAACCAAAACTTAAAACATACAAAATTTGACAAAATGACCAGCATCTGTTTCAAGGCATGAAAAACACTGACTGAACCATGCTGTATTAAAATAAATTTAGATGTACAGATGATAATGAATCAGATGGAGAAACACTGTGTTGTGATTGGTTGTCATGTAGAAAGCTGATTAAACATTTGGGAACAGACTGGCAGACTGGGCGTGAATCCATAAAATTTAGAAACATGATTTAGTCTATAAGAAATCAGAGAACAGTTTGTGCATTTTATCTCTTTATACCATATGATGTAAGCTACCACTGAAAACATTTAGGGGTAAAAAGTCGTAGTATTTTTAAAAACAGAAAATTGATAAAAAAAATATAATAATGCAGACATTTGTCAAAATCTTTAAATCAAATACTTTACTGTATGAACCAATTTTTGATTGAATCTCTGTAGTCTTTGGAATGGGGATATCAGCGTGCTTCACAATATTTTTAGCATTCCACCTTGCAGAATTTCTCCAAGTCTGTCAGATTATTAGGACATGGGTTTCCCACATAGAAGAGAGTTATTGTAGTGCATTCTCTAGAGCAGTGTTCCAACCTTTTTTGACCTGTGTACCCCTTTGGGCATTTTGTCTTACCATGAGTACCCCTCTCAGTCAAAAGTAATGATGAATGTCAAGAACTGTAACGTACAATAACTGATAAAAAAGAAAAAAATATGTTCCTGAATTCACTTCTTAGGAATTTCATCATATATATATATATATATATATATATATATATATATATATATATATATATATATATATATATATATATATATATATATATATATATATATATATATATATATATATTGCTTGGAAGTTAGTAAGGAATAGAAATAAAAAAAAAAAATAAAATCATATTATAAACCTGTATTTATAAAACAGGAGCTCCTCTGAGTAACTCCCCCATAACCACATTTAAAATAGATGAATTGGAAACAAAACATTATAGTCAGACTGACTTAATTAGTTTTACTTTGTTTTCATCAAAACACCTGAGCCGCTTTGATGAGCTCTGATAGCTTAGTGTGACAAACAGCTGATCCCATGGTGTTTTCTACATCCGGTCTGTTTCTCTGCTTGGTTTGTATGAGTGTCAAAGCTGAAGGTGAACACAAAAATATCAGAAAAACTTACTTTTTGATTAATAAAAGCTTGTTTAATTTGTCAGTTGGGTCCACACAAAATAAAACAGGTCCCATTTTATTTTACTGCCTAAGAAATAAAATATTTTCATGTACCCTACCTCTTGCATTACACTGGCGGACCACTAGGGGTACGCATACAAATGGTTGGGAATAACTGTTCTAGACCATTCTAAAGCTTTCATTTTTTTCCTTTTTGTAAAGTAATTGTTTTATTTTTCTTTGTGTGTGTGCCCCTAAAAAGCTTTCAGGATAAACTTTCTTTTTGTGTTGTGGTTTTAAACCAACAACTAAATATATATTTTTATTAAAATTTACTGGTATAAGGAACTGTTATATTTTAAACTCTCTTGAAAAAAATGCAGTTTGTCTGGAAAAACTAAATCCCATAGCTCTATTTAGATTTTTTCTAAATACATGGTATTATAGTACAAAAAGTATAATTTTGAACTTTTGACTCATAAATTCAAATTTCAGTCTTATGAGACCAGAGCATATCCTCCCACAAGGTTTTAGGAGATTGAGGGATGATTTATTATGTCTGTAGTCTTGCTGCTATTCTTTTCACAGAGGTGCAAAAGAGAAGACTATCTGTAATTCAGAACTTGTCAAACATATCTACATCTATGCTGCCCTTTTAGATGCAGCATAGAGATTAGATACAGCCTTTAAAGCACACAGAACCATTCAATGTAAATATTGACAATAATAATAATTAAAAAAGAACAAAAATGGGAAAGGATGATGAACCTATGACCTCATTTCACATTTTGTAAATGTAGTAGACCTAGGGAGCAAATTAATTGTTTTAAACTGCCCAGTTTGCAGATAGTGATCAACTTGAACAGAGACACAAGCATTTTATTGACAGAAAGACTCATTTTCCAAATATATCGATTGTGTCTGTATGATATGGCATGTCGTTTTTCTGCAGAGGTTAGATAAACAATCACTTCTGCCGACCTTAAGTTGTGTCACTATGTAAACAGTGAAAAAAAATAGACGTTTGAGCTCCACCTGGGTTGCCAGATAAAAGGATAAAGTAGAATATATGTACCATTAGCATAACTCATGAGATTGCAGTATTACTAAAACATATTACACTACAATTTCTTTTTGTACTTACTTACTACAAAAAAAAAAACAAGAAAAAAAAAGACTTGGGGAATGGGGACAATTGAACCACTGACTTGTCAAAAAAGAAATTCTCAGAACCCTGGCGTAAGACACGGTAATCAATGCCTTTACCTTCTACCAAAACAACAGGAAAATTTACTGTTCAAGTCACCTCATATTGGGTTAAATATTCCCTTCTGTTACCTGTCATTGTGGTCTGGTTTTGACAAAGTTTATTTCGAGCAATCATGGAGAAAAGTCTGCCTTTGTGAGGCAGACTTTGCTATTCCTTTAAAGTACTTACTGTGTTTTCTATGTCAAGTTTAATGTGGATTTTTTAAAAGCTGTCTGGTGATGGAAATGTTAGCAAAACTTTAAATATTGTGTCCCCTTTCTGCAAGCTATGGCTTTAGCTAAAGAATGCAAATGAGGAAATTTGATGAAAACCCTACAAGGACAGCTGAACTTCATTTCAGTTTAATAACACTCACTATGATTGATGTTGGGTTTGAGCAAAAGAAGAATGATTGCTTTAATTAAATCAGAATGTGCTTCAGCCATATATTAGGTTAAACTTGCACATTATATTGCAACTTTCTTAATTTGGTTAAAATAGTAGGTAGGCAGGTTTATGAAACAGCTTGTGATCAGTGTTACTTTAGTTTACAATTTTTTTTACACTTATTCACAATAAGATAAAATGATATTTGAATTAGACATAGGCTTCTGAAACCCACACAACTTTAAAATAAGTTCTGGTGGAAGTAAGCTGTTAACTGTTCCAAAAAGTAAAATGATTGGGTTGTAGGCATTAAAAAAAGACACAAAAAAAAACAAGTTCATATTCAGTTTTGTTTTTATTAACAGAACATCTGGTTTGCTTTAAGGCTGAGACATTTTTTTACAAAGCAGAAGCCTTTCTTGCAAAGATATGACAGCTTGTTCTTTGTCAGAGGATGTATTTATATATATCTAGCTGCTGGGCCAGCAGTAAGGTAATATTTTACATGGTGACATAAATAAGTAATAAAAAAGTCAGAACTACATATTATCAGGGAACCAAATCAGTAAACAATCCATACGACTTTATAAAAAGAACAGTTACAATAAATAAGTTACATGGTGTTTTTTTGAAATGTTTTCATATAGTCCCTCTTTTCCAGCAGATGTGAGCTAAAGTACTTCCACCTGACAACCATTTGGCAAGTATATGAAACAGCAGGGTTTTCATTAACAAATTTTCACTTTCATTGTTGAAGCTGCCTTTTTTTAACTCACCCGAGTGCCTTTAACACACGATTACAATGCTGGAGCTTGCAGAGCAAAGATGTCGGGTAATGAGTGTATTGGTTGCAATACATCAGTACCAATGCCATCCTGGGACACTGATGGGTGTTCATAGTGAAGAGCTTTATTATGACCTTAGTTGCTTTGTGTCCTCCCTTTGCCCATCACATGAAAGATTAATGACAAAACACGCTATGCTAACACTTCTCACACAACAAGAGCCTGTTAAAAAAGTGGCCAAAAAGATAAACACTCTTTGAGTATTCTGTGCCAAATGGAGCTGATAAAATAAAATATTCGTTTTATTTCATCTAAAATAAAAAAAAAGGAACATGTTTTTTCCATATGAAAACACGTTACAGGAAAATAAATCTGTTTGCTATTATTATCCTACACGCTCCATCAGGCACCATATGCTACTTTTTTCTCCCTCATTGCTAAGCTTATGCCGTAGTGTTTAACTGTAATGATCTCTTGCTATTTTGTGTCTACAGCACTGTTGGTTCTAATGCTGGTAGTGAGAAGGCACAGGCGTAAGAACCAGGAGGGGACAGATACGGAGGTAAAGGAGCTGGAGCTGCCCGAGTCCTTTTCCCAAAAGGTGCTTTTTTACGAAGAAAGAGGAGATAGGGCAGCTGGTCTGGACTTCTGCCAGCCCACAGTGCCACTACGCCCTCATCCGAGGAGAAGAGACAGGAGGCTCCACAAGGAGGAAGTCAGGGCCAGCATACGGATGTCACTCAGAGAGTCACACCTCATTGGGCCTGAGGACGAGGTCTTCAGGCAGTTTATCCTGGACAGGCTAGCAGAAGCTGATCAGGATCCATATGTCCCACCATTTGATTGCCTTCGGACTTATGCTTACGAAGGGTCAGGGTCCCCACCAGGGTCTCTGAGCTCATTGGATTCCACCTCTTTGGAATTTGAACCTAGGATACCTGTGTGCAACTCCAAGCCTAAAGTTGTAAGACTCACCCCTTGGTATGGTGGAGCAGAGGAGGACACAATCTTCTAAAGAACTTTTTTTTTCACATATTTTTATATTATTCAATTTTGTTATGGGGTGAAGAGACCTGGACAGTTCATGTTGAGTAAGCTTCAATCAAATAAATCGTATGTTTTCCTTTTTTATTTTTTCCCACATTTTTTTTACATTACACCCACAAACTTTATTAGAATTTTATTGGGATGTTATGTGATTTCTTTTTTAATTATAAATAAAAAATTTACATGGCTTTCAAATGTTTACAAAACAGTTATTTTCAGCCCTGCTAACCATTCAATAAAATCAAGTCTTGCTAAACTTTGTTCATCAATATCTGATCTTTAATTTTTCATGGTTTTGGTTCTATTTAAGTCTTCCCCTAGTCTTCATTCATTTTATTTCCATTTTGTTTTATTCTAGTTATTTTTAATTGTTTTTGAGCTTTTATTTATTTCTTGTTTTCTCTCTGTTGCCCTCTTGTGCCAGTCTCCTCCTAGCTGCCTTCTAGATTATTCAGTCCATATCTGTTACTCATCTGCCAATTAGTCCTTCCGTTGTTTCTGTCTCCCACATATACTCCTTATGTTCGGCCACTTTTTGCTGGTTTCTCATGTTTCTCTGCTCCTTATATGTGTTTTCCCTGATGTCCCCTGGGTTTTGGTATTTCTGTATTTTGTCATTTTCTGGGGGGATTTTTGCTTCAGTGGCCACCTTTTTGTTATTAAACTTGTGAGAGACCACCTCAGCTTCCATCTCTGCATTTGGGTCCTTCAAACCTCAACTTCACCTGACATAATTTGAGAAAAACTGCTTCAAATAGGTATAATTTTATCCAAGCACTTTCGTTTGGCAGTTTTTGAGTTTTTTTTTTATTTTTAAATATATGACGGTGTCAAAGAATGCCTACTTTAAGCCAAAGGAGATCCACCACTTGCTGGAACCATGTTTGCACATGTTTTTAATTCACTGTAGGTCTCGTCTTAACAGAGTTGTGGCATATATGACCAATACTTGTCATACAGGCCATGTATTCTGTTCTACCAGCTGGGCTGCAAACCTCTGCAGATCCTCCATCTTTAACACAGGCCATTTGGATATTTCCCCGAATAATAATAGTTGTTGTTGTTTTTTAGTTTATAGCTGCCAATGTCTTGGTAGGTTTGAGTTATGTCATAACTAGGTTAGGAAAACAGAGCAACTAAATTCAAACATTGGCCACAGCATTTAAGTTTGTTTTCAAATAATTTGTTAATCATTTTCCCCTGTCCTTCGATATTACAATTACCAACTAACTTCTAAATATATCTGAATAAAACAAATAGTTTGAGGCTGTGATGTGAGAAAATATAAATGATTTCAAGGGGTTTCAGTAGTTCCATCATTATTTCTTTTAGTCTTTTGACATTGGAGGCACACTTCTGTTCCCTGTTTTTAGGGTTTTTAAGGCTGCAGGCTTTAATGTTTGTTTTTTCTTTATCTTGACAGTTTGCACAATGACAAAGTGTACTATTCAAAATGTCAAACCATTGCTGCTAAGATAATATCTTTAGCCTTAAATAAAAAAACACAATCGCTGGCAGGCTTCACATATACAATTAATGTTGGCAGCTGTAATTTTTTTGTTGCTTTCAAAAACTGTAAAAGCTGCATCAGCTACTTGTCCACTGTTTTCATATGTTACTCTATAAAGGTATGTATGTGCATTACCTGAAACAGAGTTCTGGTATGTATTAAGCCTGCACGAAGTAATTGAGTATCTGCATTAAAATATTGCCATATTTCTTGATATTGTAAGGAAGGCTACTGTACCCTCAAGGTAAATAACCATCTTAGATAAGTGTGCACAGCCATAAACTTCCATTACGTGGCTTGAGGCAAACCCAAGTGCAGAATGGATCATAAGACAATCATTAAGATATAAAAACTATTACAAACTCACAGGCAAGTAGTAAATCAGAACAACGTAGATGTTTCGAGTCAGAGGCAAAACAAGACTAATAGGCTCTGTCGGGAACAATGACCAACTTTAAACCTAGAAGTAAAGGCTACGTTTGGCTATAAAAAATATAAACCTACATATTTACTTACAAAACTAAGACAGACAAATAAAACAAATAAAATGTGCATGTGGTTTATTCTCCGACTAGATACATGTTTTAAACCTGAGGCCAGTTAACTTATTTGAAAGAAGATTAAAAAAATCGTAGCAACTAAACAGTGGAAATACTGATGTGTTGGCAAAAGTGTTGGGAACATTACGTAAAAAAGTAAATAGTTATATGCCTGTGCAAAGGGCTGTACGCAAGGCCCAAAAAGAGTCAGTCCCTTCTAGGTTCTTTTAGCGGCATGCACCTTAGAAAATGCTTTCAATTCCATTCTTTAAATCTGGCCAGTCTTAAGCAGCAAAAGTAAACACCATTCTGACTTTGAATAGGCTATTCAGTGCATTTATCTGTTCCTCTTCCCCTTCCTCTTGCACAGCCGCCTTGAAGAAAGAATATTCCGGGTTTGTTTTCCAGGCTCGGGTTTTTTCTGCATTGAGTTACAGTAGCATGTTCTCCCTGTACATACGTAGGTTCTCTCCGGATACTCCGGCTTCTTCCCACAGTCCAAAAACATGACTGTTAGGTTAACTGGCTTGTCTCAATTTACCTTAGGTGTGAGTGTGTGCGTGAATGGTTGTTTGTCCTGTTTGTCTCTGTGTTGCCCTGTGATAGACTGGCGACCTCGCGACCCCAACTGGGATAAGCATGACAAAAAATGGATGGATGGATGGATGGATGGATGGATGGATGGATGGATGGATGGATGGATGGATGGATGGATGGATGGATGGATGGATGGATGGATGGATGGAAGGATGGATGGATGGATGGATGGATGGATGGATGGAGTCTACAACATTACAGCACAGCAGTTGCAAATAAAAATGGGGCATTCTGAGGCTATTTGATGGACCATTATGGCGACTCTTGAAGTAAAGGCAAGTTACCACAGAAAATTATTTATCATTTTAAAGATTAACTGGCTGTTTTATTTAGTTTCTGTGCAGAACTTCCTATCCTGCACGATCTGCTCTGTGCCATCTTGCTGCTTTGAGCTTCAGCAGCTGGCAGAAATATAAAACAGCTCAGCATCCAACAGTGAAAAACCAGCGCTGAATAAAGGTTTTTTCAGCCAAAGCCGTCACTAACATATCAATGGCATAATTGATGTGGATTCAGTTGGTGGAAATTTACTGACAACCAGTGCCGACTGAGTTACATAAACTTTGGTTCAATGTTCCTTTGCTGTCTGAGTACCTCGCTGGGCTGAAATATTTCCACATGAAAATGTCATTTTTCCTGACTGTCATCAACACCTTAAACTGCTCTCCACCTACATTTGTAGCTTGATGTGCTTCCACAGACCGCCGTGAGTGGCGGACTACATCTATATCCTACAGTCAGTTTAAGTGTAATTTTCATTTTTAATTTATATATCACAATGTAGGCAGAATATAAATTGAAAAAAAACAGAGGACATAACCTCTGTGTCCTCAATAGTAGTTACGGCCCTGCCTGTGTAAATCCTCAGTAAATAGGGTCATACAAATCAAGTCAGATGTAAATTTGTTTTGCTTTTGACTTGGAATGTGCAGGAGGATGGACCTCCATGCTGCATAAATACATCACCACTCTAATTAACGTTTGCTCCTGTGTGAGCTGACAGTGTTGACAAAGACTCCTGGATAAGTGTTGAAATGCATTCATAAAAAGAATTAGCAAAAGTCTGGTTGCCTTACAAATTTAGCCCAATTTGTGATGAACTAGTTTTAGTTGGTTACTTCTTCAAAAATGAAAATGAAAAACAGAATTAGTAAATTAGGTGCTGCACAATAAAGTAGGTACTATGCACAGTATTTATGCAATTAATTTTTAAGATCTGAAATGCTATTTTGAAATATAAAATGTTTGATATTAATTTATGAATAAAACAAGAATTTAAACGGGGCTACACATCTGAAAATATTGTATAGTGGTCTGCACCAGTTTTGGTGTTTGCGAAGTGAATTGTGACATAATTTTGTAAATTTGTATGTATTTATTGTTTGTAATAAAATATATTATAGCAAATTATATACTTTAGAAATTTATAGTTTTGCATTTTGACAGCCTTCACATGGCTTGAAAATAGGCATGAAGCTGAAAAATAATGATTTTGACACAATTAAACAGGGTTGAATTAATTGAATTAAACAGGGTTTGCACTGTTTCAGAAAAACACACACAACAAAGAACAACATATGGGCACCCAGTTATCAGTGAGTGTTGAGATGATGGGCAGAAATTAGTTAGAGATACTTTTAACTCACATATAGTCATTTTTTTTCACACAAAATGGGCAAATCACAGGAACATTTAGCCTTTGACTTCAGCAAGTGCTTCATTGAATCTATGGCTAAGTGCCATCCTTTTCTTCTCAGTCCGTGTTCAAGGAATGCTTAACATCTGACCACATTGCAGCTCCTCAGCAAATCTAAGTCTTTTATTGATCAATCTCAAATCTCCTCAAAGTAATTTTGAGTAAGATTGATAGAGTTGAAGTAACATGCAGTGTTAGATTACAACTAATATAACAGTAATACCAATATCTGTAAAGTAATTAGTAATTTTGTTATGAAAAAGTAAGTCAATTACTAATGCTGTTATTATGTAACACCATGTTACTCCCAACACTGGTCAGCTATGAGAATAATTCCCAGTAAAACCTTGCGGTTGTTCACTATGTCTATTTAAGAACAAATAGATAAGAGCTGTTGCACCTTCCTAAACAAACTGAAATCAGAACAAAAATACAGATAAAAAAAAATGTAAGAAATATATAAATATAAAAATATATTTTAAATAACATGTGATCTATCTATTAAGTCAACTCCCAGAACTCCAGAAGGGATAATCAGGCAAAGGAGTGCTGCAGAAATACAACAGATTCCCATACTTGAGGACCTGGAAATTGGCAAAAAAAGACTCAAAATCTTGGCTATCTGACTGAAGAGGAACACTAAAGAGATGGAAGCCAGATCAATAAACAGGCTGTTCTCAACTGAGCCAGTGTAATCCTAGTGGCAAGGTGACAGCAAACAAGCCAACCCGCCAAGGCTGGAGACTGAATAATACCGGATAGGTATCCTGGAGAAAGAAGCATCACATAATAATGATCGACCGTGGCTAAAAGACCGAAGAACAGACAACTTTAACCTCCCTCAACAAGGTTC